CCCCTTCTTGAGGTAAGAACTAGAAATCATTCTGACACTGTTGAGGCTGCCTGAGTCCCTCTGTGTCTGTTGTATGCTGACACCCACCCTGCCCCAGCAATGCACCCCTGATGCCCACCCATCCTCAGAAGCAGGGCTACCTGAGGTGTGGCTGCTGTTCCCTGTGACAGTCTCAACCCTGAACCTGGATTTCCATAGGCCCCACTTCTGCAGGGAATTCATCTGGAGGCAGGCTGTTTAGCCATGAGGTCTGAACACACCTTTGCTTCACTAGCCAGAGCTCTGAGGTGGCTCCACATGGAGGGACTGACCCCTTTTCTATAGCAAGTGGTGTTCCCATCACACTTCTGGGGGCCTGATCTGCACTTGGCATTGTATGGTTGAGTCCCTCCAGGGTTGATGTCCACTCATGGTTTCACATCTTGCTTACTCAAGCCCCTTACTCGGCTGTCCAGTGGGCTGTAGTCTTTGCCTGTGGGGCAGATTTGATATGCATTATTTTCTCCTGGTCCCTGCAGCATCTTTTCATTATGTGAAAGTATTTGTTTTTCTTGTTAAAATGACTTATTACAGATAGGCAAGAGAAGGAAAAATTGAATTACCCTACCCAAAAGATTTTTGGCTTTTTTGCATACTGGGGTTTGAATTCAGGGCTTGTACTATTGCCAGGCAGGCACTCTACCATTTGAGCCATTCTGCCAGCCCTGTTTTGTGATGGGTATTTTCAAGATAAGGTCTTTGGAACTTTTTGCCTTGACTGGCGATCCTCCTGATCTCTGCCACCTGAGTAGCTAGGATTGTGTGAGCCACTGGTGCCTGGCATCCAACATTTTCTTAGCAAACATGTAGATCAGTGTGCACACACACGCGTACACACACATGCATACATACACCATGCCTGCGCAGACCCTAACCATCTCTTTCACGGATCCTGAGAGGCACTTTTTCCCTCCTCTTGGTGTCTGTGAGATTGGGATGCACCTGCAGTTGCTGTCTGCCAGGGGTACTGTGCCCTAATGAAGTGTAGCAAGGAAACCCCACAGCTGACCTCCTCCTCTGTCTTTGGTGCAAGTTCACTCTCTCCTCCATGTCATCAGGTTTTTTTTTTTTTTTTTTTTTGGTACTAGGGTTTGAACTCAGGGCCTACATCTTGAGCCACTCCACCAGCCCTTTTTTGTTGTGGGATTTTTGGAGGTAGGGTCTCATGAACTGTTTGCTTGGGCTGGCTTTGAACTGTGATCCTCCTGATCTCTGTTTCCCAAGTAGCTAGGATTACAGGTGTGAGCCACTGGTGCCCAGCTCAGAGTTTTTTTTTTTTTTTTGTGGTACTGGGGCTTGAACTCAGGGCTTACACCTTGAGCGACTCCACTAGCCCTATTGTTGTGAAGGGTTTTTCAAGATAAATTCTCACAGAACTATTTCCCTTGGCTGGCTTCGAACCTCCATCCTCCTGATCTCTGCCTCCTGAGTAGCTAGGATTACAGGTGTGAGCCACCGGCACCCGGCTCAGACTTACTTTTAATTCAGTCAGACATACGACTCTTTTGCTTGTGATTTACACTGTTTTGTGTCTAATTTAAAAATCCTTCCTATTCCCAGTGAGAAAGATATTCTCCTATGTTTTTTTTTTTTCTGAATTTTGCTTAGGTGAGGGTCTGAGACCAGACCGTCTCTCCCATAGCCTCCAAGGCCTCTGAAAATGTCAGATGGCCACAAATAAGCAACTTTTTTCTGGGCTCTGATCTCTTCTGTGGTGGGGCTATTCCTGCACCAACATCAGGGCTGGGTGGGGCACATTGTGGCATTTATAAAAGTTCTTGCAATGTATCAAATATACCATACTTGAATTCACCCCCTCCACCATTCTCCCTTATTCCCCCTCCCCCTAGTTTTTTTTTTTTGATGGTGCTGGGGTTTGAACTTCGGGCCTTGTGCTTTCTAGGCAGGTACTTTACCACTTGAGCCACATTCCCAGCCCTTTTATCTTTACTTTTTTTTAAAAAATAGGGTCTCATGTTTTTTTGCCCAGGGCTGGCTTGGGATGGTGATCCTATTTGTGCTTCCCATATAGCTGGGATTACAGGTGTGCGACACACCCAGCTTTATTGGTTGAGATAGGCTCTCCATTACCTTTAGCCCAAACTGGCCTTGAACCTCAGTCCTCCTGATCTGTCTCCTCAGTAGTTGGAATTACAGCATGAGCCACCATGCCTGGCTCACTGCCAATCATTTTTAAGAACTGAAAGAACAGAAGGAGCAGGAAGGACCCTTCCTAACCTAAGAGCCTCTGGAGGGAGTGTGGCCCTGTGGATGCTTGCCTTTTGGACTTAAGGCTTCAGAACTGTGGGAGAGTAAGCTTCTGTGTTTTAAGCTCTCCAACTTGTAGCCATTTTCTGTGGCAGCCACAGGGAGCTGATAAAGTTACTGTGGTGCAAAGCATTCTCTTTGGACAGAAGTCTTGAGTGGGGTCTCCGTGGACCAAGAGCCCAGGCTCTTGTGACTGGGAGCAGGGCTAATATCCCTGTGTGGAGTGTGGCTGCTGGTCAGCTGGTTGGTCCGGTGATGTCCATGTGCCTGGGGCTTCACTCTTGCCTGTGGACTCATGGATGGTCCCCTCTAATTTGACTTGCTCGCTCCAGGAGCCTTGGATGGGCAGCAGTGAGGGGACTGCCCAGCATCATGAGGCCTTCTTGCAGAACACCTTCCTCATCCTAAGTATTGTGCTGGCTTTGACCTCAGAGGGAAGGTGGGTGCCAGTCCTTGTGAGGCTCTGGGGAACCAGGCACTTTGGGATGCTGGAGTGAGCTGGGGTGGGCTCCTCTTGCCCTGTTGTTTCCTTGAAGCTATACCAACCCACCCCTGTTCTGTAGCACTCAGGCCTGTCCTGGGATCTGTGCACCAAGGGCACCCTTATCCCAAAGCAGCCACCCAGGACTGGGAGGTGTGTGGTGCTGAGTCAGCACTGCTCTTTCCCCTTGGCCTCTCCAAGATGAGTGCAGATAACATTCTGAGTGGGAGCTGGAGGCAAGACTGAAGAGACAGGGTCGTGGCAATGATACTTGCTGGGCCACCACATGGGCCAAAACCCTTTTGCTGAGCCCCTGCTTCTTCATCTGGAAAACAGGGATGGTACCAATACTTTCCCATGGCTGATGCCCAGCTTAGGCTTTGTAAACAGCACTGTGATGTCTGGCACCTGTCCCGGCGTGCTCAAAGTGAATGTGGCCTGATCTGACCCAGACATGTGAGGGGACACCCAGTGGTTACAGCTGGCCTCAAGTTCATCCCTGCAATCTCACCTGCAGGAAGGGTTTGAAGCGCTTTAAAGCACTTTAAAGCAGTACTTTAAAGGGGTCCAGGCACTCCTGATTACTGACAGCCTTTAGCAATCACTCCAGTAAGGGATGAGAGGGGCAGTGGGTGAAACTTAATCAGTCACACGGCTTTGGCAGCCACACAGGTGACCTTGGCGATTTGAGGAGGCTGCCACCGGTCCAGATGGGCCAGGACAGAAAGCCCAGCTCAGAAAGGGCAGTTCTGGCTAAGCCTCCCCCTGGCCAACTGCCCGCCAGGTGTCCCAGTCCCCATTGGCCCCTGCCTACTCTGGCCCCAGTCATAAAGCCATCTGTCCTTGGGGAAATCTGCAGGAGGGGACTTAAGGACTTTGGTGCAGGTGTTGATCTTAGCACTGGCCCTGGTGGGACTCCTGTTCTTCCCGACAGGTGAGTATCCGTTCCAGCCCCAGCTGGTGTCAGCTGGCTCAGCTTCACTGCTTGTACAGGACTGGCCTTGCTGGGCCCTGAAGCTGTGCTAGGCCTGGCCTTGACACCTGGGAGCCTCAGTGTCCCCTACACCCAGACCCTTTGGGTGTCTTCCCAAATACCACTCAGAATGACTCCATTTTCTACCTGCGGTAGCCCACACCTCCTCCTGCTGCCTTTCTTCTCAGCGCCACCTACACACAACCAGTCCTCTGCCTCAGGGCCACTGAGGGTGTGGCCAGGAGGGCACACTGCGGTGGCGGTGGCTGCAGGCCCGCCTGTCCCCCTCACCCTTTCTCCACCCCACGGAAAGCTCGGGGCGGGATCCAGTGTGGGGTCTCTGTACCAGCCCTAGAGTTTCCTTCTAGGGTGAGGGCCGTTTTCCTGCCGACTCCCCTTGACTAAATTATCGGTCTCCAGCTTTAACCCCACGAGTCGCCACGAGTCTTCCCCGTTTTCTCGTATCTGCCGACAGCGGAGGACGAGCGCACCTGCGGGAGGTGGGTGCGAACCTGCGTCTGCTGGGGTCCAGGGCAGTCCGCGGCCCCCGAGGCCAACGCTGCGGACCGGGGGCCCCACCTCAGCCACAGACCCCCCCACCCCGAGGCTGGGAGGCTGCAGGGGGCGGCAGGAACCTGAGCGCGGGCAATGACGGCCTTCCGCGCCGGCAGCCTCCACTGCTGCAGGCTGTCTATTCCCAGACACCCCCGGCAAGTCCGGTCACCGGGGCCAGCGGAGCTCAGGTGGACCCAGGCCCCGACATGTCTCACTGCCGACACCGAGTCCGCCCGGGCGCCCACGCGTGTCTAACACCGCGCTGCCGGCCACACTGCAGATCCAGAAGTAAGGTCCGAGAGGCGAGCGACTGGACCACGGACACACAGCGAGACAGAGAGCGCGGGGAAGCGGCGACGGTGAGCCTTGGGCCAGGTGCTGGCTGGGGACCCCCGGCCCTCCTCGCTAAGTGCCCGCTGCCCAAGGCCGCCTGCCTTCGCGGCCAGGGAGGGTGACGTCAGTCCCGACGCAAGTCAGCGCCCGTGGTGGGGGTCTTGTTAGAGACGGGGATCCTCCTGGGGGCGGGGCCAACGCGGCGCACGCCCCCGACGCACGCTCCCGGAAGGGCGGGGGGCGGGACTCCGGCCCCGCTCACCCGCGTCGCCCCGCCCGGCTGCGCGGTTGAGGGGAGGCCGGGAGCGGCGGCGGCGGCGCGCGGGCAGGGGTGACTGACGGCTCACGGTGGCGGCGGCGCGGCAGCCAATGAGGGCGGCCGGAGGGGGCGGGGCATCGGCCCCGGTTTTGTTCCGCCGTGGCTGAGCGCGTCGTCCCCATGCAAGGAGCGCGGCCTGCGCGGCCCTTGTCCCCGCCCCGCCCGGCCTCGGCCAGCCGCTCGGCCGTAGGTGCCGAGCCCGGCGTCTGCCCGCCACGCGCCGAGTGAACGCCCGGCCGGGGTCCGCGCGCGCGCGCGCGCGCCGTCACGGGGTCGCGCGAACTTGGGCCGGGCCGGGACGTCGCGTCCCCGTGCTGTCAGCGCCCGCGTGGGTCTGCTCGTCCGCTAAGCGCTCCCTACCGGGCGTGGACAGCCGGGGCCGGTCGCCAAGGCTGCAAGGACTTGGGCTCATGTCATGCGAATGACCCCCAACGCCCCATCCCCGCGCGCGGCCCGGGGCTCCAGGAACCCCGGTACTCCTCGCGCGCCCCGGGGTCCCAGGTACTCAGACACCTCCCGCGCGCCCGGGATCCTGGCACCCCAAGACCCCCGGTCCCCCAGCACCCCGGGGCTCTTCCGACTGGCCCGGCCCCATGAGCTCTTGTGCCCCGGCTGCTAGGGCCTGCCAAGCCACGCCCGGGGCGTCCTCCACTTGTTGATCAGCTTTGCATGTCGGTTTTTGAGACTCGTCCCTGCGCTGAGCCTGTGGGCCACAGCCCTTTCTGCGCTCAGTATTTGTCATTTTGTAGCCAGACAGAAGCAGGAAGTTTGAAGAGTTGCACGGTGTGGTGAGGGCGTTCCAGGAGTAGACCCAGACGACCTGTGGAAGGTGACTTGCAAGTGGATTCTGAAGCCACTTTTTCTGCGTAGACAGAAGGGGTGTAAGTCCCTTTAAGACTTTTTCCTGTGATTGGAGAGTGGAATGTTAGATGTTTAGGGTATATTTTACCATTCCTGATTGGCTGTTACCTTACTCTGTACATTGGATTTTATTTTTCCTGCTCTAAGTATAGTTGCAGATAAGTTTATCTTTGTATTGAATCGACTCTTGACCTTTTTGTATTTTATCATTGGGTGCCTCCTCTTTGAATATAAACTACCATAACTTCAGATTTCTCTTTTTTTCTTTGTTATTTATTTTATTTTACTTTAATGTGCTGGGGATTAGGTAAGCACTCTATCACTGAACTCCATCCCCAGGCCTTTTTTTTAAGATTCAGACTTGACTCCTTGCTTGTTTGAGTTTGTTATCTCTCAGTGCTGAGCACTTTTTAAGTTGACCCCCTCCCACCCAGTGGTACTGGGGTTTAAACTCAGGGCTTTGCTTGCTAGGCAGGCACCCTATGGCTTGAGCTGCACCTCCAGCCCAACAGTTTTGTTTTTGAAACTCTGAATATTACTCCAGAATGGAAATTGAGATTGTTTAAAAACAGTGGTTTTTTTGTGCAATTGGGTTAATAAGTGCAGGGATTTGTAGGATGTCATTCTTCCTGCTAGTTCTCCTTCTCTGGGTCTGGTGCCATTGTTCTCTCCTTGGTCCCCTTTGTGCGAAAGTGGTTTGATGAATGGTTCTTCTTGCTGTCCCATGCATGAACTTAGGACTTGGTTCTGGAGATTTGTTCCTCTGATGTGCTTGGTGCCACCACTTGGAGGGTCTTACAGTGACTGGTTAGCAGTGTCTCAGTCTGGAACTGTACTAACAGTTTTGCCCCTTGGATGGACCTTTGCATCTTTTAAAAAATTAAATTTTTTTTTTTTTTGGTGGTATTGGGGTTTGAACTCAGGGTCTCACACTTGCTAGGCAGGCTCACTAGAACTTGAGTCACTCACTTCACCAGCCCTGTTTTGTGTTGCGTATTTTCAAGATAGGGTCTTGCAAACTATTCCTCCAGCCCACATTTTCTTGACTTAGGTTGGATTTGGTGACCATAGCAAGGACAGTTTTTTTTATACTCAAAATGTGTAAGATGTAGAAAATGCTAAAACAATCCTTTTTTTTTTTTTTTGGTAGTACTGGGGATTGAATTCAGGACCTCACACTTACTGTGAACTGTGCCCCCAGCAAAGCAATCATATTTTTAAGTGCAAACATTGGGAGACATTTCCAAGTTGTGGAGACATTTGTTTATGTGCATTTCTGTACAGAGGGAACAGAAATATAAAGAGGCTCCAGTCTGAGAGAAAACACAGTTTTACTGATTGGTAGAACCAAAAAAACCCTACGTCTTTTTCACTGGTGCTTTGGAAACACTGAAAACTTAAAAAAATTTTTTGTAATGTAAACCCTTTTATTGTTTTCTGCAATGATATTTCTCAAAGGAAAATTGACTTCCATAATCTTTTAAGCATTTGTTCTAAGTGGCCATCTCACATGTGTTATTTACCTTGGTTCCTTGAGGCCTCATGGAGTAGAATGGGTGGTTCCTTCTTGTTTGCAGTTTCCAGGAAACTCAGGGCCAGAGAGGTGAAGTCATTTCTTGAGGAGAGCCCTGCTAGTGCGCAGGCCAGTGGGAGTCTGAATGTGGGTCTTCGACTCAGCTGATGAGAGCTCACCTCATACCTTTATCTCAGAGTGAGATTCGTGGTGCTGTTTATCTTCCCCATTGGGTGATGTGCAGTCTGGACTCACCAGTAGAAAAGGAGATGAGAATTTCCATTTTAAGATTCAAGTTTGGCTTGGGTGAGGTGGCTCAATCCCATAATTTCAAATACTTGGGAGGCAAAAATCAGGAGGATTGTGGTAGAAGTTGGCTGGGGCAAAAAGGAGACCCTATTTGAAAATTAAGTAAAAAGGGCTGCAAGAGTGGCTCAAGCAGTAGAGCATCTGCATAGTAAGCATGAGGCCCTGAGTTCAAACCCCAGTACTGGCAATACTGAGTTGCAAAGGTAATACTTAAAGCATGGTTTCTATGTACTTAAAAAATACACTTTAGCCAGGCGCCAATGACTTGTGCCTGTCATCCTAGTTTGGGAGGCTGGATTAGGAAGATGGTGGTGGTTCAAGGCCAGCCCAGGCAAGTAGTTTGTGAGACCCTTGTCTCCAAAATAACCACAGCAAAATGGACTGGAGACGTGGCTCAAGTGGTAGAGCACAGCTTTGCAAGTATGAAGCTCTGAGTTTAAACCCCAGTCCCACCAAAAAAAAAAAAAAAAAACAACTTTATTTTTTGAGACAGGGTTTCACTATGTAACCCAGTCTGGCCTTGAATTTCTCTGTAGTTGATATTAGGGTTCACTCTTGCTGTTGTATATTTTATGGGTTTTGACAAATGTATAATGACATGTGTTCACCGTTGTAGTATCATACAGAGTAGTTTCTCTGCCCCAAAAATGTACTGTGATCTGCATATTTATCCCTCCTTTCCCTAAACCCTGGACAACCACTGCTCTTTTACTGTGTCCATCCTTTGCCTAGTCTAGGATGTCATATGGCTGGAGTCGTGCATTCTTTTCGACTGGCTTCTTTCACTTCGTAATGTGCATTTAAGTTTATCTACTTGTCAGCTCATGTCTTCTTAGTGCTGAGTAATTCCTGTTTTCTGGGTGTACCACAGTCTCTTTGTCCATTCACACACTGAGGGACATCTTGGTAGCTTCTAAGTTTTGGCAGTTAGGAATGAAATTGCTGTAAGCCTCTGTAGGTTTTTGTGTTAAAGACCAAGGAATGTGGTTGTATGTGTGGTGAGAGTATGTTTAATTTCGTAAGAAGAAACTGCCTAACTAAGTGCCTGCACCATTTTGCATTCCCACCAGCAATGAAAGAGTTCCTGTTTTGCGTCCTCATCATCTCTTGGTGTGGTCAGTGTTCTGTATTGTGCCATTCTAATAGGTGTGGAGTGGTACCTCAGTGTTATTTCAGTTTGCATTTCCCTGATTACAGATGATGTAGAACATCTTTGCCTTTTTTGTTTATCATTTGTTTTTTTTGCTAAGGTGTCTGTGAAAATCTTTGGCCCATTTTTTTTTTTTTTTGCTTGCTTGCTAGGCAAGTGTTCTACCACTTGTGCCATGCCCCCAGTCCTTTTTTTTGAGTTTTAAAAGTTCTTTGTATATTTTGGATAATAGTCCTTTATCAGATACCTCTTCTATACATATTTTCTCCCAGTCTGCATCTAGTCTTTTCATTTTCTTCAGTGTCTTTCACAGAGCAGAATTTTTTTTTTCTTGGCGTTATTGGGATTTGAACTCATGGCTATGCTCTTCCGAGGCAGGTGCTCTTCTGCTTGAGCCACACCTCAGCCCTTTTTGCTCTGGTTATTTTTTGGAGATAGGGTTTCACTTTTTGCCCAGGCCAGCCTGGACCACAATCCTCCTGGTCTCAGCCTCCTGGGTAGCTTGAGCTGACATGTGTATGCCACTGCACAGCCATTTATTGGTTGAGATTGTGGTCTCATGGACTTTTTGCCTGGACTGGCCTTGAACCAAGATCCTCCTGATCTCAGCCTCCTAAGTAGCTAGGATTGCAGGTGTGAACCACCAGCACCTGGCCTCCGAGCAGAAATTTTTTAATTTTAATGATGGACAACTTATCATTTCTTTTTTTCATGGATTGTACCTTTGGTGTTATATCTAAAAAAAGTCATTGTCAAACTCAAGTTTATCTAGAGTGTCCTATGTTATGTTCTAGGAGTTTCATACTTTACATTTTACATTTATGTCTGCGATTCATTTTGAGTTAACTTTTGACAGGTGTAAGGTCTATCTAGATTGACTCTTTTTTTGTATGTAGATGTTCAGTTCCAGTTCCACTTGTTGAAAAGACTCTCTGGTCCCTTTATTGCCCTTGTTCCTTTGTTAGAGATCAGTTGACTGTATTTACTCTATTCTGTTACATTATCAGTTTTGCTAATACCACAGTGTCTTGATTATTGTAGTTTCATAACAAATGCCAAAGTTGGATAGCATCACTCCTCCATCTTTGTCCTTCAGTGTTATATTCTCTAGTTGGAGCCTTTTGCCTCTCCATGTAACTGCAAAGCCAATTTTTCAATATCCATAAATAATTTTCTGGGATTTTGATTGGTTTATGGTCTTTTGAAATGCATATCTTGAAACCTAATCCACAGTTTAATAGTATTTGAAGGTGGACTTTTGAGAGATGCTTAGATGATGAGGATGGAGCCCTCTAGAATGGAATTAGTATCCTTCAAAAAGAGATTGTGGAGATCTCCCTTGCCCCTTCCACCATGTAAAGACACAGAGAAAAGATAGACATCTGTGAACCTGAAAGTAGACCCTCATCAGGCACTGACTCTGTCAGTGATATGATCTTAGACTTCCCAGCTTCCAGAAAATAAGTTTTTTATTGTCTATAAGCCACCTAGTTTATGATATTCTGTTCTGACAGCTTGAGTGGACTGAGCAAATTGGGATTACATTGAATGTCAAGTTAGAGGAACATTGAGTCTTCCTCACCATGTGCATGGAGTAGCTCTCCAGATATGTAGTGGTTTTTTTTTTTTGACTTCTTTAATTGGAGCTTTATATTTTCCTCATACAGATCTTGTACGTTTTTTATTAAGTTTATCTCAGTCAGTTTTGTGGGTGCTAAGGTAAGTAGTACTATAGCACCTTTTTCACTTTATTCCCTGTCGCCTAGCTTCTGTCTGTGGTCACAGTGGGAACTGGAATCTATCTGTTCATGAGAAGTATGTCAAGGAATTTTCAAGCATGTTCTGAGTCCACCACACTCACTGTCCATAGTTGGTAACTGATGTGCAACCAGGTATTAGTCATCATTCAAGTGCTTTTTTTTTTAGAGGTGGCCTGGGATGTGGCTCAAGTGATAGAGAGCATTTTCCTAGCATGTAAACCCTGGGTTCAATCCCTAGTACTTGAAAAGAGAAAAAAAAAAAGATAAACTCTCCCTTTGTTGCCTTCA